GGGAATTCTACGTCATGTTATTTAGGTTGGTTGGTACTTTTGCCCAAATTGTCTTTGATTGAGGCTAAGTGTGCTTTTGTTCTCGTATGAGAAGTCAAACCCTGCGTAACCTATAGTCACCTAGATCTAGGCTAATTTTAGATTAGTCAAGTTGGTTTGAACCAATCTAAGAGGAGTCTCTAAGTAATCCGAGTTAGCCTACATTAGGCTGAATGTCCCTCGAATTATCTAAAAAGTTGTTTAAATCGACCAAAGTTTAATAGGATTGATCCAGATTGACTTCGCTTGATTGGGGTCAAACTAGTCTTACTTGGTTTATATTGACTTAAAATAAACCAAGATAGACCAGTTAACTTGGGATGAAACAAAATTGAGCTGGGCTGATCCAAGTTTGAATCCTTTTGGTCAAATAAAATTGAAGTTAAATTAGACTTGGATATAGTCTAAGTTTGTTTAGGCTTTAGTTGTCTGTTTAAGTCTAACTTAAGTTGGACTTAAATTAAACTTTGATTAAACTGTGGTGAAGCTTAAGTCAAGCTTGAATTTGAGATTTAGGTCAGTTAATCAGAATTTATTCCAATTATCCCTAAGAATTTTTTTTTTGTGTTAACCTGAGTTAGATCAGGTTGTCCCAACAAATTGAGTTGATTTTGGGTTAGCTCGTGTTAGGTCGGGCTGACCCGGAGATTGGGTTGATTCAAGTTAAATCGGGTTGGTCTAATGGTTTAGTTGGATTTGGGTTAACTTCAGTTATGTGGAGTTGACCCGGTGATTTAGTTGAAATTGGGTTAACTCGAGTAAGATCAGGTTGACCCGGAAGTTTTGAGTTTTTTTGGTTTTTCTCAAGTTCGGTCGGGTTGACTCGATGATTTAATTGAATTTGAGTCAACTTGAGTGGTCAGGTTGACCCAGCAATTCAGCTGAATTTTGAGCTGAATTTAGGTTAATCCGGAAGTTTGAGTTGTTTTGGGTTTTCTCGAGTGAGGTCGAGTTGACTTGGAGATTCAGTAGAATAGAGTATAAGCTAATGTTAGACTCAAGAGAACTTAAGTCCGAGTTAGGTTGGATTTAGCTTAGGTCTAGGTTAAATTAGACCTAAGGAGGTTCAGTTTGAACTAAGTCTAAGTTATATTAGACTTAGGTTATGTCTAGTTGGGCTTGACCTAAGAAGAGATTCAATTTGAACTAACTCTAAGTTAGGTTAGACTTAAGGCTAGGCCTAGGTTAGGCTAGATCTAAGAAAATGTTCAATTTGAAACTAGTTTAAGTTAGGTTAGACTTAGGTTAGGTCTAGGTTGGGTTAGACCTAAGGGGATTCAGTTGAAATAATTCTAGGTTAGGTTAGGTCTAGGTTGAGCTAAACCTTAGGATTTGGGTTAGGTTTAAGATGAGTTAGACCTAAAAGTTAGGTTAGATCAAAGATGAGTTAGACCTAGAAGTTTGGTTAGGTTTAGGTCTAAGATGTGTTAGACCTATAGTTTAGGTTAGGTCCAATTTGGGTTAGACCTAGGGTTAGGTTAGGTCTAAGATGAGTTAGGCGTAAAATTTAGGTTAGGCCCAGTTTGGGTTGGACCTAAAGCTAGCGTTAGGTCTAAGATGAGTTAGCCCTAAAGGGTTGGTTGGGTCCAATTTTGGTTAAACCTAATATTAGTGTTAGGTCTAATGTTGATTAGACCTAAGGGATGATGTCAAGTCAATTTGGGTTGGACCTAAGATTTAGGGTTTATGTCTAATGTTGGTTAGACCTAAGAGATGAAGTTAGGTTCGATTTGGGTTTGACCTAAGATTTAGGGTTTAGGTCAATGTTGGTTAGGCCTGAGGATGACGTCAGGTTCAATTTAGGTTGGACTTATGATTTAGGGTTTAGATCTAATGTTGATTTAATCTAAGGGATAGGGTTTGAATTAAGTTTAATTTGCGTTAGCCCTAGTAGGGTTCAAAATTATGCTAAGTTTAAGGTGGGTTAAACTTGGAGATAAAGTTAAGTCTAAATTGGGTTAAACCCAAAGGGTCTTAGGTTAGGCATGAACGAAGCCAAATCTGACTAGGACTCAGACTTGACCTCATTTGCATGGGTTCCAACTGTGGGTTTACGTAGGTCTAGATTGAATCAGACCCAACCCAAGCTCATACACAAATTGAGCTAACCCTAAGTCATTAAGGGTATGTCATAGTAAAGGGGCTAACCATGTTGTCAAGCCCTTAAGACTTTGCTAGATTAGGCTCCTAAGCATGGATTAATGATTTGAATTTAGTTTGAGGAACATATTGGGCCAAAGTGTAATTTTTTATTTTTACATTTTTACCCTCACCCTCCTAAGTTTCATTTTAGGACTTTTAAAGGTCGGAATCATCATTTAAGATTTTATTTTATTGTTCTAATTTTCCTAGTTAAATTCCATTATTAATTTTGAATTTTTTGATTTTTTATATTTATTTTTGAAAATAATTATAAATTTGGCTGATTTTTTATAATTATTTTTGAAAATAATTATAAATTTGGCAAGAAATTGATCATTTCATTATTAGGGAGGTCCTCTGACCTTGAAAAAATCAGGAAATATTCCCGACGGTAGAGAGAAAGGTCTCTGAAATTTTTTTATTTTTTGGATTTATTATAATTTATTTATTTTTTAAATTTTTTTATTATTTTTCTCTCTGTTCAGGAATATTTTAATTTAATTTTGTGATTTTTGTATACAAGTTATGAATTTTTGAAGTTTTATTTAATTTTATGAATTTATTTATTTCGGAAAAACATTTTTTCCAACTTATCCACTTGGCGCTGCATCATCTCTCGTACGCTCCAAACTCATACGCGACGTCTTTTGGTTGGGCGCGCTTTCCACGTGGACAATTGAGGAGGCGTTGATCCGAAGCGTTCTCCCTTCGCGGTTCTGTGGTTCGATCTAATCTCTGTCGTCAATTTCTATTATATGGAAATTGACATATCTGTTCATCGTCCCCACGAGACAATACATTGAGGAGTGTCCGTTCATCGTCCCTTCAAGCCTCTCTCCAGAACTCCCCACACTCTCTAGTAGTCTAGATCAGTGTTGCCTTGCTCTTTAGATAATGCAGTCAACAAAATTTCTTTTTATAAAATTTGAAAGTTTGAAAGCTCAAATAATTATCATTTTGTGTAGGATTGGGCTAAAATATATGGCTCTTGGAATTCTCTTTAAAAACTCTTGAAAATTTGATAAATTTTCAAAATTCTCTCCCCTGCAAGCTGTTTCGCCGCTGGCGACCCCTCCTGCAGTCGTCAAACTCTCTGAAATCAAACATTACATACCTCCCCCTTCTATGAGACAACCTTGATCATCGATTCAATCTCAAGGTTCCTGATCTGTTCCTAGCACATAACTTTATATCCATTTGCGTGCTTTGCCAGGCTTAATCTCTTTGCCTAGGCTATGCTTGTTGTTCTTTCCATGATGAAGGTGCCTTGCCTCTTCTAGGAGCTTGTTGGCATAACCATTTTTTCGATAATGTATCCTTATCTGGTTTTTTTTCTCCCAAATTGAGGAGAAAGGTTGATGTTTGTGATCGCCAGCTTCGTGATAAGTGAGATTCAATATGTTTCGTTCTGTCTAAAATCATTTCTCCTTTGCTGTCTACATCGAAAATCTAAAGGGAAATGATTGGTTTGAGAAGCAAATGATGGGGATGCTTAGCATCTTCTGTTCTCCGTGGATGGATTTGTTTCATGGTGGACTGCAGTTCCAGGCATAACACCATTTTTTTTCTCGGCTTCCAAGGTGCCATTTCAGTAGAATTTCTTCATTTTTGGAGGAGCTCCGTAAGAAGCGTAAGTTGTAGAGTAAACTCCTTGCAGGATTCTTTCTACATGCAAGTTCTTCATTGGAACTCTTTAGTCCAGCTGAAGAAAATTTAGTGGCGGATCCCTTTCCACCGGGTTCTCTACAGATTTCTTCACTAGAACTCTCCTGTTCAGCAACAACTATTAAAGATGTTACATGTTTTTGGAGTTATTTTTTTTTATTTTCGTTGCGTATTTATTACATAATTGCATTATTGCATCAATTAAATCATATTAAAATAATTTTAATATTTATTTTGTCATATAGTTTAACCCGCATTCATCTCCGATTATATCGTTGAACATTGAGTCTCTCATTCTTTTGGTTCGATAGCCGATCCAAATCTCACAACCTTAAACGAAAGATTTCTATGATTCACTTGCATAAGAATTCACACAAGCATAATATAGGATTTCCTCGCTTCTGTTTGGCCATGTTAGAGATTTCTGATAGTGATTTATTTTTTCTTAATTTAAATTTAATAAGATGATTGTATATATACTAAATTAGTTAAAATTTTTTGTGTTTACTAGCTCTTTGATTTTTTTCTCGTGTTTCAATTTTATTTTCCAATTCAATTGAGTTGGGTTTTCGGACGAATATTGAGGTGAACAATACTACACGTGAAAAATTCTTTTCTCCCTTATTTTTCAGCTTTGTCTATTTGTTTACCATTTTCCATATCTTCAAGTCTTATTGACAGACAATTGCGTTTTGCAAGCATTTAGTTTACCATGCATACATTTCTCTTTCATGCGTAGCTAGTTTTCATTTAAACTCAGCTATTTTTCTTTGTAATTGTATGTGTTGGTGATGTAAAGTTATTGATTTGTTTTCTCATTGTTAATAAGCGATAAAGTTTAAGTTTTAAATTAAAATGGTGGCGGTGATCTTTTTTCCTTCTGAATAAAGGAATATATTCACTGTTTTCGTCAATATACTATTTCCCCTTCGTTCTAGTGTAAGCTAGCTTAACAGGAACAAAAGTTAGTATAAGTGGGAAAGTGTTTTCGTGATTTTTCTGTGTACATGTAAAAGATGTAGAGAGAGTTTTCAAGTATGTCTGAAGAAATTCCTTACCCAACTATATATCAAGTTTTATATTACTTTTCTTTTAGTATGTTTATTTCTCTGACCCAACATTTTGGTAATATTTCTGTATTTATTCTTGAACAGTGATGTTTACCCATTCCTGGAGAAAATGTGCTTGTTAGGCACACGCGTTGAATCTAAATTTGCTGTTCAGGCAATTTCCTCATTAATTGATTCTTCTGAAGATCTTACATTCTCCAATTTATGCCAGGTATGGGGCAGTAAGCAATTTCTCACTAGTTAACGGGAGTCTTTAGTTTTTTCCTTAATTATTTTTAGTTGAAAACTCTTATCTATGCTGGTTTTCCTTATAACATTTTCTTTGAAACCATACCTTTGAATTGTTTTCTTGATGATCTGTGTGCTTCTGTAATTAACGTGTATTTGCATGAAAAAATGTGCATAAATCTAAAAATAACTCTATCCTTTTTTTCCCTTATGATTCATATAGCTCTTGTTGTACAATTATTCAATATGTTGATGAAGCCAAGTAGTTATATCTTTCTTCAAGTGACAGGATTTTAAGAAAAAAAGGTATATTTGACTTTGCGAAATAGCTGAAACAGTTCATCTATTTGCTTTATGTAGCGCTTTTTAACCGTTAAATTGCACTGTTAGTTTATGAATTTTTCAATTTTGCTTATGTATTGGTGTTTTTTTTTTTTGAAAATTTGTGAACTTTCTTTTTGTTGCTGTTATCTTTTTTCTTGTATCGATTCAGATTAGTTGCCATGCATCTAAAGTCACTAAGTATAACATGGTTTATATTTGCAAAACTAAGAGAAAAAAATATATGGTCTCTGCCATGGATAATGCTTTGTTTTCTGTGCTATTTCAAAAGATATAAATCTCCCAAATAATCATTTATAAACTGCTTGGATTTTATTTGGTAAATGATTTTCAACTACTATAATTTTTAACAATATGGAACACACTTTAAATTTGTGCGGAATGTTTGAAAACCACCATAGAGTAGTTTGTCCATTTTTATAAGGATAGTGGGATCCTTTTTCGTATTCAAATGGACCTGTTGGGAGTTTGAAGTTCTTTTGTTTTTTTTTCTCTCTGTGTTTGCGGAGAACTTCATGACGCAATGGAGAAAAAAGAATTCATGTAGCCGACCCCACTTAGTGGGATTAAGGCTTTGTTGTTGTTGTTGTTGCTGCTGCGGAGAATTTCGATCTTGAATAATATTTTCTTTCTTGAGTTGATTTTCATAAACTTCAATATACTGGCTGAAATAATAAAACAATACTAACATAAAAATATCATGTGATGATACAGTTTGGGGTAATTTATGGTTTTTGACTTTTATGACCCCTTGGATTTTTTTGCAGAAGGAAGTTATTGCACTGGAAGTGCGAAGTTGGAGTGAATAAAACTGTTGGGAGGAAGCGGGCTTGGGAGGGGGAAAAAGGGCATTGTGAAATATAAAGAAATTGTGAAATTGAAACTAAATTTCATGTCTTCCATCCAAAACTTTAGGTTCATTTTTTAGAAACTAACAGCACTTAAATGTATTTGTAAAGAAAGATTTATTAAATGCTACAACTTTATTTTTGAATAGAATGCCCAAACAAGTTTAAAAGAAAATTCAAATATTATCGATGACATTAGTCCATTAATAAAGCCAGTAAACGAACAACTTAGTCCTATTGTTGATGCTAGACATATCTGTCATGATATAACTCGAGAGCGTGGAATACCAAGGTGCCAATGGAAGGTCGGACGAAGGAAACTGACTATCTATCATGTCATATATAAAATTGTCATTCTATTACACAATTTTGAGCTACAAGTATTCGTTTATATTTAAGACTTTTACAGTTATAAAAAACTAAAGTTTAAATAGTAGTAAGTACTCCATGAGCTCCTCGATGGCTGTACTTAGTTCATAGGATCCATCTATTCTAAAGTAGGTTTTCTTGAATAACATTAGTAGCTAAATATATGAGTTATAATAAGTAGATAAAGTATTTTTAAATTATAATAATTCTCATTTTAAAATTATTTTGTAAAACACATTTAGTAGTAAAAATACTTTAACCAATAAAAATGAGGCATTTAAGAAATAAGTTTTTTGGTTAATTTTAGTATTTAACTACAATATCAGTTAATAGGGTTCACCGTCCAAACACAAATGTTTGCGTTTAACATTTTCCAAAACTCTTTAATTAGGTGGGCAACCATTTTAATTTTTATTTATATTTCTATTTTTATTTTCATTTAACGTGCACAAGTACATTGCCTCACGCGTTAATACCATCTAAGGGCAACTCCACATGCATGCATATACTTTATTCGTTTTATGTGTCTTTTATTTGACATTTAAAAAAGAAACATAAAATTTTTATTTTAAATAAAGGTGCTCAGGATAGTAGAAACAGTTGCAAGTAATTTTGGAAGTAAAAAAAAAAAAAAAACTATTGTAAAATAAAAAACTATGTACCTATTCAGTGCAGTCAGTTGCCCTTTCCTCGGATTAAGATTGGTCCCGCAAATCACCTATAATAATAATTTATATTTGATTAATTTAATTTTCTCACTCTGTTTATGTTACTATTATAATATGTTTTTAATAAAAGAAGTGACAAATTGTTAGAGGTAATTACAAAGAGGTGTAGTTAATTTTTACTGATAAATAATTATTTAACATTTATTAATTAAGTACTTATTGTATTGGCCTATTTGACTTTAGTTACCCTTTAATTTCCCTGATGTATCATACATTAATATGTGAAATTTTCTCTTCACTTATCATTCATAGAATTGTTTTAGATGACCTTCCTAAGTTTCTCATCAACTTAGGGTTTAGGATTCTGAAATGTATAATTACTTTAGCATCAATTAATTAAGAAAATAACATTTAAATATTACAATCGGACTTCCTACCTTAATTTTCCTCTCCCTTTTTGTGCTTTAACCTTCTCAACAAATTACCTAAATAAATTTTAGTGAAATTTTATTAATTTCAATATAGAGTTTACTAAAATTTATAACCTAATTTTTGAAAAGTCATAAAATACTAAGATAACCTAATTTTTAGTTTCAAACTCTTACTTAAAGCTGAATAAATAATTATTTAACATTAATTTCCGTTCTCTTTTCTGCCTTTTTCTATTTCTACACATGGAAACAAAAGTATCGGTTGATCTCTCTCGACTAAGGAAAACAGACGCCGATAGAGGAAAAAATCACACGCATTGCTTTCTTCCCCTTTTTTTTATCGATTAGGGCTCAATTCCCCTTGAATGGAATTTATAGGCGTTAGATTGAACTTAGTCGAGCATCTCTCAGGCTTGCAAAAAGTTTTCGCGAGCTATTCTCTGCTTTCTAAGCTCGTATCTCGGGACCAAGCATTTTTGCATTTGGAAAGCTTTTTCTTGAGCTGCTCATGCCTTTCCCGAGCGTGGAAATGTTGCTAGTTCTTCCTCTTTTCTTACATGCGGTTTGTGAACCATGCAAGAAGGTTTGCCGCTTGAACCCTCTGCTTCGCTGCTTTGACTTCTCCTTCTCCTTCTCCTTCTCCATTTCCATTTCTCATCCTCTTCCTCTTTCCCACTATCTTTCGCTCTCTTTCTCGCTCTCTTCTTTAATGTGGTCGAATGAGAGGAAACGAGGGAATAACCTTGTCTTAGATCACCCGCAGGCAGTGTAGCAGGAGCTTCCTTGATTGCCACATGCGGTGCAAATGTTGCATAGGTGATCTCATTTTCTTTAATTAATCAAGTTATTATTACAACATGTATTAATAAGTTGAGTGACATCGTCATGCTTGATGATTGGTGTAGTCTAAATTGACGTACCATATAATCTTGTCTTATTGAGGCGGCTTGATTTTCACATTTACCTGCTTAAATTTTTTTGTCCCATGAGGACAATATTTTTATTTCTGGTGGTCGAAATGAGACTTTTAGGATTAACGTGAAAAAATCAAGATGGATTTTATGATTCTAGGTCATTGTCAAAAACTTATATTATAAAGGGAAAGATACATTATGATCAAGTAAGGATTACAACCACTTAAAGTAAAAAAAAAAAAAGTAAAGAAAAAGCTAAGTAGATCTAGCCAAAGGTAAGTCTCGTAAATCCTCATGTAAGAAACTTTGAAGTTTCCGTGGTTATGTATAACCTATATAAATAGAATTAGACTCAGCTCCCCAACGTGCTAAGTCTGCATGCTTATTTGATTCTCTGAATGTATGTGGCCAAGCTATAATAAAGTTTGGTATCAAAGCTTCTATTCTCTTTTAAATGATTGCACAGTGTCATTGGCAGCTATGATTATTAGAACATATAAGAAGATTGGTGACCGAGTCAGTCTCAATTTGAATGTGAAAAAGTTTCAATTTCTGGGCAATTAGCAGATTGTAAATGATTGTAAGTGATACCGGAGTTATCCCAAACCACGACTCAAACGACATATTTTATTGCTGCAATTGAGAATGTACAGCTCTTTGATGAAAGAAACAATACAAGCATGTAAACAATGATACAATGCGCGACGACTCAACAAGTAATAGAATGAGCAATGTAAAAGACAAACTTTCCTTGATGACGCTAGATGGTGACCGAGAACACATCAGAAGGATTGGGAAAGGTTTGTGACAGCTAGAAGGACGTTGGATGAAACGTTAGCACTGGAGGGCGACAGAGAGAGTATGGAAGGTGGTCAACGAAGACTGGAGGGACACTGAAAGGGATCTAACGGATTGAAAGCCTGATGGAGGAGGCTAGGAGGTGCATCAGTTGTGGGAGGTGACGCAGGACGGTTGATGTGGCGACCTGAAAGGTGGGTGTGGCTTGTCTGTGTTGCTGTAGGGAACTTGGAGGGTTGGTCAGCATGCTGAAGGAGGCTGGGAGGTGCGGCAGTAGTAGGATGTGATGCAGGGAGGAAGGAATGAAGTAGAGATACACACCATCTCGGGCGAGATACAACCGTAAAACCACTCGCTACTGGATACAACCTCGAAGAGGGAATGCCGGGAAGGTACACCTGAAATTAGAAATCATCAAAATAACTGATTAGACCTATGAAAAGTACATGCGTAAATAGAGAAGGAATGGAGAGAACAAAGTCAAGATCTTAGGAAAGAAAGAAGGTAAAAAATGGAAGTGATTGCAACGACTAGGAGAGGAGGCAGAAAAATAGGGCACACGTTGAGCAGAGTGAATCGCGCTCTGGAGAAGAGGGGGTTGGGGGG